TTACAAAAATATACGCTGCTTTTTTTGTTTTGCAGTTTGCCAAATGTCTACCAAATTATTTTGGTCAGAAAAAGAAGATAACTGAACTAGACTGCTAAAACTCTGCTGCTATTTTTACATCAATTAATAGCTTTGGCAAATGTACTGCTGTAAGTTTATGGAAAACCAAACTTAGTTTCCTGCACAGCTTCTAAACTGGTTTTAGCCATTTGCTAGGGAGAATTCTGTTGTGGAGTTCCTCCTGCTGACATTTTCCCGTTCTGACCAGAATGTTTTAGAGTGTAAGTGAACAACAGAGATTGAAAGTGAGAATGGTTTCATAGCCTAATACTTGGGCCACTTCTCATCCTGATGAAACACCTGAGCTTCAGCCTCTGCTGCAGTGCATATTTGAGTGTTCTTTGCAAAGTGGACGAGTACTGACAGAAGGGATTTGGGAAATGCCAGGAGAGGCACCCCTGCTTAACATGCTCGTAGTCAGACATTGCTCAGGTGGAGGTGTGATATGGGTACAAATCTGATAAGCAGAGAGGGAAGTTGAGCAGGGGTACTACAAAAAGTTGAAGCTAGCTCATTTATGGATTTTGATTCTCCTGCTTCGTTCTATTTACTTTTGAGTTTGCTTTTCCAAAGCAAAAACTGTGATAAGAAGTTCAATGAGAATGTTATCAAAGAATTTACAGTTTATATCAATTTTCGCTATGAATATTGGAAATTTTTTAATGCTATTCTGTGTATTAAATCAACAGGAAAGCTTACATCAAGTACATTTTTGACAGCTGGTATGCACTATGCTTTTGTGGCCTTGAAAGAACACAAATAAAATTTTCACTATTTAAATCTTCGTTATTAAATTTTCATTATATGTGGTACCATTTTTCTGCTCATGTGTCTGAGTTACACCTATGTGAGCACTGCATCCGTGCTGAAAGCTTCCCATCGTGACAAGCATTTGTTGTTCTAAATAAGAAAGGAGCAAGACGCAGTCACTAGTTTTGTTGACTTCTCGCCTTCATGCGTACTCTAGTTCATTGACAAATGTGTTCTGTTGAAAAGGCTTGAAAGTTTCTGAAGGAAACCTATATATATATATATATATAAACTTCTGGAAGATCCTACCTATGAATACACTGAATCCTAGAATGCCACCACCAGAAAAAAAAAGTGTTGAAAAAACTGGTAGGTCTGGTTCAATTTAGTTTAAATTCCACACATCATCTGTACACATTTTTTTTTAACATGGGAAAGTAGGAGATAAATAAATGGGAGATTCAGTCCAGAGGAAGATCTCTTCTGCTGTCTTTTGAGAAGATGGAGTAGGGTGGTGGGTTTTATATGCAGCTACTTTCTTCAGAGTTCTTTCTCTAAAGAAAAGCAAAGCTTTATTAATGGGAAACCCAACTTGTTATCAGGCACTGAATCCCAAAGGGGAGGCTATACGCTTCTGTAGACAACTTCTGCTTTGTTAGTGAGAAGACTGATATGAAAGCTGTAGGATACAGTTCTGTCTCTTATTAGCTGCATAGAGAGGCAAGGAAAGAGATGAGGAAGTGATCTGCAGCTGAGAGCATCTGTGAGTAATTCTTAGCCTACTCACTTCAAAAACTTTTACAGTTCCCAAGTGTAACGAAATGAGGAAAGTCTTATTAACCCCGAAATAACTGCAGGCTTCATCAGAAATTAGGTCTCGTAAGCAGAGTAAATGAACCAGCCACCCTCACAACATTTGAAAAGTGTGGCCTATCATTACAGTTGTCTTTTGCAAACTGTACTGACTTAGTTTGATTCCTTACATTCAAAATGACCAGCCAAGTGATACACAATGCCTTGAAATTATTATCATTATTATTGCTATTTTCTACGTGATTTATACTTTCATACTTAGCGAGCGGATGAAAAATACCTATGTTCTGTAATTCTCTAATAACTCAGGTTATTTTCTTGAGTTTGAAGTATTTTCATTAAAATAATGAGCACTGACATTCCACATGGACATAGCTTCCCTTTGGTATGTAAAATCAGTTACAATTTATTTTTAAGGAGTGCACATACATCCCTTAACTCAAGTAACCTCCTGCCAGAGTGGTAGTATTAACTCTGAAACAGTTAATAAGCCTGTAAATATGGAGACTTGTTTATAATATGGATGTATGTACAGATATATTTGTGTGATACATATGTGTGTATATATTGTGTGTATATATTTGTGTGATATATATGTGTGTGTGTGTATCCCCACATGAGTACACACAGCTCAAGCTTTTTTTTTTTAGTTACTTGCCATTAAAATATTCAGATAACTTCCACACAATTACGAAGTCTTAGCTTGTTACATGAGTCAGTTCCAGTTTACAAGGCAGACTAACATCTGGTACAGAACCATGCTTCATAATGTGGTGTTTTCAGATCCACAGTAGAGGATGTACAGGTGAGAGGGGATTTGCTTTTCTTCTTGTTGCTGTTTCTGAAGGAAGCACCCAAATGTCCTGTATCCCTGTAGCATTCCTATGAAGAGATACCAGAGACACATTTGACTCTGACTTCTCTGTTTTCTTTCTTACTCTGGAAATGCCTGAATAAAGATCCGATTTTTTTTTTAACCTTTATCTGACTCAGGCTCAGCCAGAATTTTTTAGGATTTATTTGGTAAAAATGTTTTTGGTTATTTTAAATACAAAATCTCTCTCTTTGTAAATCCCTTGTTACAGGTGGGATGCTCCCTGATCATGAATACCATAGAAAGCCCTACACTTGCGCAGGTTTTATCCTGCCTAGACTGAAGTTCATAAACCTTAACAAACCAGCATAATGAAATCCTTTGCTTTCTGTAGACAAGTCATGTAAGGTGCTAAATGATGCCTTCCATTATCACTTCCATTGTCCTGAAATCAGGACACAGTCAAAAATATAAACCCTGTCTTGCCTTAGTCTTCTGGTGGTAAAATTGGAACAGATTCTTTATCACTTTCAGCTTACTGTGGAGAAACAGCCCTTCATAGAATAGATTTGAAAATGAAAGATTTTGCTTTATACATTCATGGAATTGGAGCTTTCATTGTAATAGGATTCTTTCTGTCTTAAAAGATGATTTTTGTAACAGAGGCAGAAGCAATTACATAATGTAGTACACTCTCCATAATGATACAACTTTATTGGGATTTAAGTTAATCACCATAATTGTATGGTATGTACTTTATTAATATTACAGTATGCTGCATGAAGTTACTATAATTTTATTAGAAAATGGAGTTCATAATCCCTCTCTCAGAAATGCAGGTATAGGTCATAATGTTAAAAAGATGTTTGAAAAGCAAAGACTGATTTTAAACTGTTTGTACTTTTACAAAAGACGAGGAAACTTTCCCTTACAAATGTAACTCTATGACTGTTACATGCTTAACACTATTTCAGGGATTTTGCCATAGAAGATTAGAATTAGATTAGCTATTCCATGTGTGATATTCAGCTATTACTTATGAAAGATGAACTGCACCGAATGCACATTCACAGGGAATATATTCCCCTTTCTTCCAAGGCAAATCATAACCCAGAGACACAAACAACATGTGAACTGTGCTCATCTGTCTCTCTCTCTAGACATATATTCTCTCCATGCATAGTGCTCTGGAACATCTGCACAAGATTTTACATGCCACTTGTTCATAGAAAGAGACAGAGCTACAGAGAACCTCTCCCTCGAAAGAACAGCATCATGAAACATCATCATGACTTCTAAGCACACGATGTCCTCACCAGTTTTTCTGACTCAGTCTTGGAATCTGTGTTGTCTTTGTAAATCAGTCTAATTTCTTATATAATTACATGCCTGCACATTAAGTATACCTTTATTTAGCAATGATTCAGCAGTTACATGGACTCTGTAGAGGGAATACCTATAGAGACATGGAAATATTACTCAAGAAATACCTGCCACTCATACCCGTTGTCTGTTCAAGTTCAACAGTATTTATTGCTTCTAAAAGAATGTCCCCATTGCTTTCTGAGCTCTTTTCTTATATTTTGGGAAGAATAAGAATGTGAACAGTGACCCCTTGTTCAGTAATGGAAAACCACTAATGAAAAACTCTTGCATTAGTGAGGTAACAAATACACCCTTTGTATTTTCTTCATTACATTTGTGTATCTACTTAACTTTTTTGTTAGCCTTTTTGGCTAAAGACTGCTTAGAAATGTTTCAAGGTAAGGACATGGTTATTCCTCACTGTTTTTCATAGAGTAACCAAGAAAGACAAAACAGAGTATGATGATTTTCACTTCATGTTATTACATTGTTAATTACTTCTGTAAATCGAAAGTATCATATCGATGTCTGATGTCTAAGATGACAACTATACCCAAGTATATGTTTTCCCCAGAGTTCATCCAGCAAAATTCAGGGCTATAGGAAGACAGTTTACAGTGTATAGAACTAGACCTATAGTGGAAGAAAGAATTTAGAATGTAAAAATGGCATCTATAATTAGCTGCTTGAAAATAAACGTCTGAATCAAATCCTACACTTTTAAAAAGTAGAAGAAATTAAAACCCAATGATAATCTTGCTGTAAAAGATGTATTCCGTGGATAATGGAAAAAATACCTAGGGTTCTTTCCGAGTTTAAAAAGCGATGATAATAAAAGCATAACTATATGTGCTTTCAGCTGCCAGAGACCAAGGCGGGAGCACTAAAATTGACAGAGCTCACAGATACTATTTTATGAAAGAAAAAAGGTTATTCTTCAAGTTCCAAGTCATTTGGTGCAGAGGAATGAAATTCAGCCTTCTTAAAATCATGTTACAGAAAATGTTGATATTGTGTTGTTATTTCCCATCGGGCTTCGGGGTTAATTGTGTCAAAACCATATTTATATTCTATTACTTGAAATAAACCACATTTATAAAACAGGATTCAAGGTGCAAACCCTGTCACTAACAGTGAAGATGAATCTGGTGGCCGAATTTGTGTGACCTTTTTGATGGCGTTTTGTTTTTACATATAGGTACTCCAGGCCTGGTGAAAAGAGTACAATATATTCTGCTGACAAAGGCTGAAGCCTCATTTCTGCTCCTGCATTTCCCTGGATGTCAAGAACTTGGTAAGAACAGATTCATTAGAACCCTGTGTAGCTGCTCCCTTGATTTCAATAGAAATGCCATTATAAGGCATAATGTTGTGTTCAAAAGCCCCATGAGATGACTGGGTCTCTTCTACAAACCTCTCTTTAGCCTGAAATGGGACCCAGTTAAGGTAACTTGTTAACTCTGAAAGGAATTATTTTGTTTTTTTTTTTTTAACTTAAGGGACATCTACACTTCTCAAATAACAACTCTCCAGTTTGTTTTGGGGTGCTTATTTAATGGCTGTCTACTCTGAGTAAGTGTTATTCCACTCCTTTCCCATTGAATCTCCTCCAGAGTTTGAAGTGTAGGCAGAAGCAGCAGAATTTTTCCTCCACCCGCTGAAGAGATGAATGTAGAACAGTATTGATTAGTTGGCAGATTAGCTCTGCTGTTCATATAACATAGATGTGGTCTAGATCTTCCGTGATCCAGTGGGCACCAGTTCTACCTAATGCACTAAACCAGAGCCATTGCTTCTAAAATAGAATCTCTTTTTCTGGGCCAGGATCATTATAACATTTGGCTGTGCCAGATGATAATTTCTCTTAACAAGAACTACTGGGAAGTTTAATCTTTCACTCACTGTGACAGCATGTTGCAAATGCCATATGGTTTATGGAAGAAAGTTGGCAAAGTGCATGCTGTGTCTCCTGTAAGGTTGCCCCTTCACTGGTTATACTAGAAAGTTGCATGGGAGCCCTGAAGGCAGCAAGCTTCTGTTTGGTTGTACCTTTTGTTTCTTTGTTTTTGTTAAACAATGCGTAGCATACACAGAGCATCCCATTAGGCAAACTAAAAGTGTATTGAAAGACAAGACACTTTATTATTACTGAAAAGAGAAACTGGTTTGTGTCATCTACTTATAGCAGATGTTGTACCTACCTGACTCATTTATCTTGCAGGAAGCACTCAACAAGGGTCTCACATAATTTTTATCCCAGTATAGGGTCACCTGAAGGTTAGCTATTCTAAGATACTGAAATTACAGCATAGAGAATAACAGTCTTAAATAGGAAAAGTTTTCAGCACCTTAAAGCCTGTGTTTCCTGTCAAATTTTGAGAAGTAAAATAATTTTCAGTTTTAAATAATCAGCACAAGGTTTAATGTGTCCAAAATATTTTAGTTACTTTCTTAAAGTCTTTAGAATGCCTACCTTAAAAGTCAAACATAAAACCTTCAACAAGAAGACTGAATGTTAGAAAACAGGCATCGGTATTATTTAATAGACTATAATAGCTTCAAAAAATCACAACTTTTACTACTAAAAAAAGAACATTATATTGATTTTGAATACGTGGTTGCTGATTCATTGGGGTATCCTGCTATTTGTATTTTATACTGAAATGTCATTTAAATTGTGCTCAATATAATAAATTTGTTTTCCAACACAATTAGGAAGTCAGTTTGAACAGTTCATTGAAGAGTGAGGACCTCCTATACTTTTTATACAGTAGGAACCTGCATGTCAGGCTGACCTGCCTGATTCTGATTCATATTTATGTTCTCCAGTATGGGAACAAACTGGCAAGACCAATTTGATTGGCATTTTATCAAAGTTGCTACATTTACCTCATACTCTTTTGTGTGTTTTGCTACAACACACAGCCTAGTCACTTGGGGAGGCATTTCCAATCTGTCATTAAGTAAAGCTGGCAGAACAGTATCTTCAGCACTTACTGTCCCTTCTCACAATTACAGATATATTACAAGAAGTATTACATAAGTGTCCATCAAAAGCCCCAATTTCATCAGGAGCTAGAAACTCAGAATACCATTGCTGCCTGGTTTGTTTCAGCCATAAATCTGGAAACTTTTATGGGAAACAAATCCTAGGTCTGTGAAAAAAAACTACAGATACACTCAATACATGTACATTTTGTCCTTTCCATTTAAATGTTGATCGGACGCCTCTCTGCTGAGCACATGGGGAGAGCTACAAACAAGAGAAGTGGGATGCTAGTTGTCATGTTTATGAGTCTTTTCAGGTCAGACACTGTTTAAACAAATACAGGGAAGTTTTTCGCCAGCCTAAGACCTAAAAATAAATAAATAGTGACAACAACAATGGTAATAATAAAAGTAACTAAAAAGGCAAAACACCCTTCCACAACCCTGCACCCCCGGTCTGTAGTAGAAGGGGATGTGTGAATCCTGATCTGGTAGTTCTGGGGTTTCATTTCAAATTTTAATCTTAAGGAGCATGCATTCTCTTTACAATGTTGCTTTTAATATTGACAGTAGAAAATGACTTTTTAAATAGGTATAAATGTAGTCATTTTTTAATTCAGGAAGGAGCATGCTTTTACTTGTTCTTTGATTTAATGTAGTCAATACAGCATCAGCGTTTGGGTTAAAAATATCCAGTGCACTCTGCCCTGGTACGTGGAGATAATCATGAGTGAGGACCTTGGCCTTCATTCCATAAGCCAGTTAGAGTAGAACAAATATAATGTTTCCTGAAGAACTCCAGTTTATGACAGGGGAGATCCACAAAAGAAATTGGGTGCCTAAATTTCCAGTTACAATAGTAACAATTCTTGCTTTACTGCCACCTCCTCCTATACTCTGCACTACAGTCTTCAGTGTTTAATGTTGCAGATTCTAAGACTTAGAAAATCCACTTCTGGACAGATATGCTGAAAGTAGTGGTGGCAGTAGAGAAGGTCCATGCTCCCCCAAATCCTGATGAGTCTGGGAATCTCAATACCAGGTTTATCTCAGAATACATCAAGATCCATAGACTTGGTGTTCCTTTTCTGTCTTATCTGAGGAGCTGCTCAGATAGGGGTCCTCAGAACTGCCCACTGGACTGGTGTTTGCACAGAAATCTGGTTTCCTGTTTCAAGTCCTGTGCTGGTATCTGCAACATATTGAAACCCTGTTAGATAGGCACAGCAACAGAGCTCAACCCATCTGTACCCAGGATGACAGCTCTAGTCACAGACAACTGCATTCAGTTTGCTATGGTATCTTTTGGGGTGTGGGCTGGCAGGAGCAGTTCCCCAGATGAGGATCAATCTAGGTCATTTAACTTTTGAAGTATAAATGCTGTCTTTAAATTATAACACATTTCTCCTCATAGTTTTCCTTTTAATAATTGAATAACAGGTGCTGAATGACCTGGTTACATCACATAGGCAGCTGAATTAGGCTAAAAATAGCTGCTAAAGAAGAACATGGTATAAGGAGGGGAAGAAAGATGAGAATTAGCCTTTCAGATGGAAATTGTGCTTTTAAATTAGATGCATGATAGAGGATGACAGGAAAGTGATAGAAGCTGCAATCCTTGCTCACATTCCTGTGGACTTCAAAGGGATTTTTCCCCATGTGAGAACTGCAGGATCAGACATCCTATCTATACTTGTTTCTTTCAGCATCTGGCTCTTACATGTGTTGTCAGGAGAGCTTTTCTCACCATATGGGACTTGTGAAACACACTTAAAGCCCTTGGTAATGTTCAGTCCATTGCCTACTTGGTTGGGCATTCCTTACACCTTTCTAAAAAGCGCCACCGCAGAGCAAAGTTTAATTTGCACTTTAATGTGGGAAAAGAAGTCTTCCTTTTATAGAACATTTATTTTACAGCGTTCGCTTACAGCAGCTTTGAAAAAGTAAAACAGAAAAAAAACCCTGGCGTGCCCCATGCTGCGTCAAGAGAACTAGAGCATGGCCTTTTCACTTACTGCTGTCAGACTGGGGCTCTTCTGTTTCCAAACCTCATTCAGCAGCCTGAAGCTAAAATGGTCTTCTTTGGAAAGCCTGCAGAACTTCATCCCTTTTCAGGTCGTGGGATGCAGAATTACTTTTGGGCTCCTCTTTCAAACTGTGGAAAAAAGATTAACCATTCTCTCCTCAGGTCTGCATGTCTGGAGAGAGATGAATCAGCTGCCATTAAAGATACAAATGTGGCTGTATAAAAAATACATCTTCTGTCGCTCTGTAATGAGGACCTGATTTCACATATATCCTCTGGCTATTCTAAATACTTGTTTAGATTTTGTGCTAATGCACAGCCTGACACAAAGGCTTTTTTTTTGTATGTTTTCCTTGCTGCATTAACACTGAAATGGACTGGTGAGTCCTGGAGAAAGCTAATACAAATGTTATCTGTAAGGCACTTGGATCATTTACCCACCACTATTTTCTACAACACTTAATTTCTTCTATGTGAGGCTAAGAACGTTCCACGTCAGGCTGGGGCAGGTGGTAAAACCACTATTCACAAACTCATCTTTATGTCCTCCATACAACGTGGTACGCATTCTGACTACTGATGACAAAATACATTGCATAATTTGTCTGGATTTTGGACTCAAGTTCTTGGCTACCATTGTTGTCCCACTGAAGCTGAATAACACTGAATATCACAAACTCCAGGGACAGAAGAGCAATGACTCTCGGAACCTGTTTGAAAACAGCATACTCTAACTACTGACATTATTTTTTAGATGAATATAGTAATATATAGATGTATAATATATAGTAATACATAGTGAGAATGTGAAGATACAGTTTTCTTTGCTAATCAAAACATGCAAAATCATCCATTTAGCCACTTTTCTCCCTGCTGAATCTCATAATTCTGAGAAGTGGATTGAAGTTGGAAAGTTTGTTCTTCTTGAACAGTCATGGTGTGCATGTACCAGAGTTATCTGAAAGTGTTGTGCTACTAGCTTGCGTTCAGTTTAACGCAGTATTTTTGAGGGAGAAGTCCTGATTCTCCTGTTGTAATTGTGAGGAGTTGCGCTGGCAAAAGCAATGTTCTTGCAGCTTTAGGCTATGCCGAACGAGCAGGAAAGTATCCTTATTTATTATGCAGTAATAAATGTTTTAATTCTGTTGCTGGTGGTTGTTTAGGGGGTGGGGTTAATTACAGCAGATATGCCAAATGTTTAAACGCTCTGTGCATTTATTCCCTTGCTATAATGGATGGTTTCCCTTAAAGATAACATTGGTCATTGCCCACTGCTCCTG